CGCCAAGACGATTGCCAGTCGATGACTAAAGCAGGATATCCTGTTACGGCGGTTGCGAAAGCAGGTTACTTGGGAACGGACTTAGGTGGAGGGCGGAGGCATGCACGGGGCGATCGTACACGACGAGTGGTCAAAAGAGTGGCAATGCATTCTCGGGTATTGCGTTTCGCGCGTGCGACTCGTAAGTATGCTGTTGCGGCCAAGCTCGGGAGAACTGGCGCACTTGCTGCTCAACTCCATGCCCATCAAATTCATGGGGCACTCGGCTCTGCAATGATCCGTTGCCGTCGCCAGAGAGGGGCTGGTTGTAGTTCTGGAAAAAAAGGAAGGCGTCACACGACTTTATAAGACCTCAGGGCTCCTATGGGCGACCCAGCTGTTCATTTTCCTCGGCTGTCTTTGAAATTCTGAATAAGGCAATGAATAATGCGTCCAGTTCTTCGGTCAGGAGTTCGCAGAGCCTGGCCTATTTTGCTGCAGGAGTTTCGGCAAGTTGCTCCACGGCGTCGTTCGCGTCATGTCCGCGGGCCAATGGGGGCGATTATGCTTTATTTGCTGGAGGCAGGTTGGGATCCTGTGGAACCTGATCATTGGAGAGCCCCGTCTGACTTCCCTGGAGATCTTGAGGCTTGGCGGTTTCCTGAGGAGGGTCCCCCGGCCAACATCATTTTAGATTCCCCTGGGCCTGCTGTTCGGGATGTTATGGCTTCCATCCAGTCCAAACTGCGGCGTGCCGCTGCGGAGCACTGGTGTGGAGATGGAATCCAGAACGGGGTCGATAACACGCCATATCGTCGCCTCATTTCCCAGCTTAAGTTGGTTCCGCAGGGGGAACGCTTGAGCGAGCTCATGACAACAATTGCGGTTGGGGGGATTTGGCTTAGAGCCGGTATCAAAGCCGATCTCGATGTCAATCTCGGCGATCTCTGCCCAAGGTGTCGTAAATGTCCTGAAACGGCGTGTCATCGGGCATGGGGTTGCGATGATAATGTTGGGGCTACGGCCTATGAGCAATCGCAAGACTTGGCTGGAAAAGCCTACACTCAAGCCGGCGTTCTTCCCTCTTGTAAGCTACGTGGCCTTATTCCTGTCTCTGCCACTGCACTGCCGCAGCCGCCTGATTCGGTGTTCTGGTGGACCACGGGGTGCAAAGATTTGAGTGTCGGATCCTTGGGCCGCGGAGAACCAGGGGACCCGCTCCTGGTTTGTTGGAGATGCCTCGGGTGGTAAAGCTTCTGGCGGTAGTAAATTTCGTCGTGGTGGTCTCTCTGATGTCACGATTGGTTGCTTTCCCCGCTAAGTATTCGTGCGTCGGCGTTCGGGCGACTTCCAGGCACCCGCCAATCAGTGCCCCGCGGTGAGCTGCTGGCGTTTGAGCTGGCTCTGCGCATGACTGACTGTTGGTCATATTTGCTATGTGACCGATAACGAGTCTATGATTCGTGGGTTTTTAGGGGGCAAGAAATTTGGGGCACCAGGAGGTGCCGACGCTGACTTGTGGTTGAGAGCCCCCACTTTTCTGGCACAGCGGGTAGGGGAAGTCACCATGTTATTCACCAACTCTCATCCCTCAGGTGCTGGTATTATTGATCGTGCCATCCCCTCGGGCCTTGGTGCTGGGAATGCGGTTACTGATGAGCTCGCGGGTGAGGCTGCGACCCGTGCCCAGATTCTGAAGGCGATACGGCACAAGATAATGATCGAGGAGAAGCGCGCCTCGCAAGTGAGCCATCGCCTGCTGCGAGCGTCCCTGGACGCCATGCAGGCCGAGGAGCGGGGTGGAGGAGGCAGGGGATCGGGGCCTTCCCGCACTCCCTCTCGCCCTCCTGCCCCTGCTGTCGTCGCCGCCTTCTCTTCCAAGCATCAGCGTGATGAGTCCCGCAAAAGGTGTCAGAGTTGTTTCGGTTCGGCCGCGGTTGCCACTCTGAAGGAGCGGCATGAGTCTCATTGGTTCACCCCTTCCCTTGCTAATGAGAAGTAAGTGGCCCTCCCCCTGGGGGGCGGCTCCACATTGCGGGGGGTTGGGCTCACGAGACACACACCATGCGGCTCCATAGGGCCCATAATGTTTGGTTGTGTCAGGTTTGTGGTGTCTATGCTCATGCTTCTATGCGCGAGCTGTCGAAACCATGTTCTCATAAACTTGACCCCCATCGTCAAGTATACTTGTCTCGAATTGACGATGGGTTGTGGCCGAAAGCTCTCAGTCGAGCTGGGCAGCTCACTCGTGCCCGCTAATTCCTTGACCACTACGTGGGATCGCCTGTTCTTGTTCCTGTTCACCTGCTCATCCTACTTTCTCCTCCGTCCTCCAACCTGCCCCCTCAATCTTCCAACCTCCTCCTCCGCCAATCCTTCCACGCCGTCCTCTGCCCTCCGTCCTCCGTCCTTCCGCCTCTCACCTTCTCCCCCGACCTCGGTCCACCGCAACTCCGTCATCCCTGCGGGTGGGTCGGGGCGGAGGAGGAGGAGGAAAAGGAGGACGACGACGAGGGTGAGGAGGATGGAACGAAGGTCGTTCACCACCAGAGTCCCACGGCAATCGCTCATCGCAACCTCCCCGCTCCTCTCCGCTCCTCCTCCACCTCTTCCTGCACCTCCTCTTCCTGCTCCTCAACCTCCTCTTCCGCTTCCTCCTCTTCCTCCTCCCCCCCTCCTCCTCCTCCTCCTCCTCCTCCTCCTCCTCCTCCTCCTCCTCCTCCTCCTCCTCCTCCCCCCTCCTCTTTCTCCTCCTCCTGCTCCTCCTACTCCCTCCTCCGTCCTCCAACCTCCCCCCTCAATCCTCCAACCTCCCTCCTCCGCCAATCCTCCCACTACGTCCTCTGCTCTCCGTCCTCCGTCATTCCTCCTGTCACCTCCCCCCGACCTCGGTCCTCCCCAACTCCGTCCTCCCTGCGGGGGGGACGAGGCGGATGGGGGGGAGGGGGAGGAGGAGGAGGAGGAGAAGGAGGAGGAAGAGGAGGAGACGGAGGAGGAAGACGACGACGACGATAACGACGACGACGACGCCGACGAGGGTGAGGAGGATGGAACGAAGGTCGTTCACCAGAGTCCCACGGCAATCGTTCATCGCTGCAACTCCCCCGAGAAGGAGGGAGAGATGCAACGAGGGAGGAGGGAAACAATGCAGACGACGATGGCAATGACGACGACGAGGCTGCTGCTGCTGATGATAAGAACGGTGGCGATGATGATGATGCTGATGCTGATGGTGATGATGATGGTGGTGATGATGATGAAGATTATGAGTCTGAAGAAGATGATGACGATGCTGGTGGTGATACTGATGCCGATAATGAATATGATGTAGATGTCGATGATGATGATGATGCTGATGATGATGATGATGATGCCGATGAGCATGCTGATGATGCTGAAGACGATAATCATGGTGATGGTGATGCTGATGATGTTGATAGGCATGCTGACGAAGCTGATGAGCATGATCATGAAAACCATGATGATGATGATGCCGATGATGCTGATTGTGCTGAGGGTGTTGATGAGCTTGATGTTGCCATGCTGATGTGGATGACGATGATGTTGAGCATGATAATGTTGCTGGTGTTGGTGGTGATGATGCTGATGGTGAGAATGATGATGATGATGCTGATGATGATGATGACGACGATGACGATGCTACTTATGATGATGCTGATGCTGATGCTGACTAGGCTTATGATAATGATGGTAAGGTTGATGATGATGCTGAGGAGGAGGATGATGATGAGGAGGAGGATGATGGTGGTGTCGATGCTGGTGATGAGGTTGGTGATGCTGATAGCGATGGCTATACAGATAATGATATGTATTGGACTGTGGGTGGTGGCGACGCTGGTGATGGTAATGGTTGTGGTGATGATGATGCTGATGCGGGTGGCTATGACAATGACGAGGAGGAGGAAGTGGGGATGAGGGAGGGCGAGGAGGCGGAGGAGAGAAGATGTGGGAGGAATAATGCTACCTCCTTCATTTTCCTTATCCTCCTCCTCTCTGGAGCTCCAAAGCGGTTTCTGGTCGCTGCAGGTCCCTGGAGGCCTCTGGACGGCCAGAACACGACAGACGACAGCCCCAAAACCTGGACCCCTCGATCCTCGAGAGGGAGGGGGGATGACGACGACGATGACGACGACGGGGACCACGACGATGACGAGAGAGAGAGGAGGGTCATGGGCCGTCCCCCTCGCCCAGGCAATGCCCAGGGGGGGTCACAGCTGGAGGGGTCTCAGAACCCCAAAGCCTCCCAAAGCCTGCCGCAACGCTCCGAATCGAATAACACCTCCTCGACCTTCTGACCTCGGACCTCGATCCCCAGGAGTAATTCGCTGGCGACCCTCTTTTCTGCGGCAACTCATGAGAGCCTCCAATGTCATTTTGCTGGCTCTTGCCAATCGAGGCTGACCGAAGCTAATCGACAATCGAAGCTCATCGGCGCTACATCGGCGCTATCTCATCGACTGCCAGACGCTGGCGCACGCTGAAGCACTATAAAGACGGAATACTAGGACATACGAGGCTTGCCGAGCCTTGGGGGAAGTCAGGAGGGGCAAGAGCCCTTCTTCAGAAGAGGCCGGGGCTATCTTCAGAATCCTCTGGCCTTCTGACAAGCCGCGTGTTCCTTCGGCGAAGGCCTCAGACACCTCTCAGAAGGCAGGGGGCCTCGCCCCCTCTGACGAGGCGCGCCCACTCTCACATCCCCCCCCCCTCATGAGCGCGCGCCGATGCAAGCGCGGATGACGTTGCTATGCGTTCGCCCCCAGAGGTGACCCCCTTCCAGCAGGCCATCCGTCGACGGCCCTTGCCCTGTGCTTGATTCGGTTCTGTGCGGTGTTATTTTTCACCCAACTGGATCAAGGAGGCTCCTCGATGGCCCCGCCAAGGAAAAATACACCGTCCGAGCGATGCCAGCAGGCGGCCGCTGCCCGACGCGGTGGCGGCGCACCCTCCCCCCCCTCCCCGAGTGCGCTTCGCCAGGGCCCAGGGGGGGGGGGGGGGGGCGCCAGCTCGCGCAGCTGCTCCAGCGCCGAGAGGCCCTCGACGCGGACGATCTCGTTGCCTCCGCTGCGCGTGCCCCCCCCGCCCTCCCGAACGCCAAGCTCCGCCCACGACTACGACGGGCTCTGAGAGCCGAGCTCTGCCCGCGGCCCCGAGGCTCTGCGGGCCGAGCTCTGCCCGCGGCCTCCAGGCTCTGCCCCTCCCGTGCTAATCTCTTCTGCCGTGCTGAGCTCCGCCGGAGCCCCGCCCAAGCTCAGCGGGAGGACGGCGTCTTCCCACATGTGCGCCGTGCGTGGTGGAGCCGGGGCCAGCAGACCCTCTCCCTCCTCCTCCTCCTCCTCCTCCTCCTCCTCCTCCTCCTCCTCCTCCGCCTCCTCCTCCTCCTCCTCCCCCTCCTCCTCCCCCCCCTCCTCCTTCTCCCCCTCCTCCCCTCCCCCTCCTCCTCCTCCCCCTCCTCCTCCTCCCCGACCTCCACCCCTGGAGGACAAGTGGAGAGCAAAACGTCAGGAAAGGGTCGGGACGAAGAGCTGCCCCCAGGGAGAGGTGGTCGAGACCTCTCGGGCTCGCGGGCTGAGGAAGCAATGCCCCGGGAATCCAGGACGGTCAATGAGAGGAGCTCGAAGTATACACCAAACCGTCTGGTTGGCCCAGAGTCTCGGTGCAAAGACGCCCCATCGTGGCCCGAGGCATGTGCGCGGACGAGTGGGGAGGAGGGAGGAGGAGAAGGAGAAGGAGGAGGAGGTGGAGGAGGAGGAGGAGGAGGGCGGAAGGGAGGAGGAGGAGGAGGAGGAGAGGAGAGAGGAGGAGGAAGAGGAGGAAGAGGAGGAGGAGGAGGGCGGAGGAGGAGGGAGAGAGGCGTTAGGGGAGGTAGGAGGAGGAGGAGAGTAGTGAGGAGGAGGAGGGGGAGGAGGGAGGGAGGAGGAGAGGATGGAGGAGGGGAGGAGGAGGAGGAGGAGGGGGGCCAGGGGGCCAGGGGGGCGTGAGAGACGTTGTTGCCCCTCGTCGACGCCTGGTGGCCTACGGCTCACGGCTCGGGCCTCCGGCGGCCGCTCGGGACGGTGGAGCAACCCCCCGGAAGCCCTCGACGAGGCCACCCACCCCGAGGCGGAACAACTTCCATGAGCCACCGGACGGTTCTCCCTTGTCGAGAGCGAAAACATGAAAAAATATACAGAAACATAAACATAAAAACCAAGGTAAAACATAAAGTGACCCAAAGTGAGCGAAGGGGGGCAAAAAGGGAACACTAAAACTACGGTAAAACTAATAAGGGGAGGAACAAGTGGCATAAACATAAAAACTCGGAGGTCCGCGCGGATTTCTCGGATCGGCGCTGAACCCCCTTCCCTGGCGCGCGGAGCGCACCAGGGGCGGCGCCGGAGGCGCCGCCGGAGGGCCCCGGCTCCGATCCGAGAAATTCGCGCGGACCTCCGAGTGGTTATGTTTATGCCACATGCTGTTTCCCTAGGTTCTTCCTTTTCGGAAGCGAAGACGCCCGCACCCCCCCCTCGGCCAAAAATGCCTGGGCATACCGAGAGGCCTCCGGGGACGCCCGCGGGGACCTCCGGAGGCCACCGCGGCGAAGCTCCATGCCGAGACCTCTCGAGGCCGCCGCCCTCCTGCCCCTGCGGGTCCTGCTCCTCCCGCTTCCTGGTCCCCCCTCGCGCCTCCTCCCCATCTTCGTTGCCCTCCATCTTCCTCGCCCTCGCCCTCCAGCGGGGTCGAATAGGTCCTGCTCCGTCTCCTCCCTCCTTCCTCCTCCTCCCCGCGCCCCGCCTCACACCTCCTCCGCCCCCCCTGTCCCCTCAATCCTGGGTGTGCCCCACCCCCCCACTGCTACTCACACTCCCCATCCTTTTCTCCCTTCCAGCTCTCTTCCTCCCTGGAGCCAGGTTTTCACTGGTCCTCCTGGTCCTACCTCCTCCCCCGCCATTCCTCAGCGTTTTTCCTGCTCTTACCTTCGTCTTTCTTTCTCTTCTTTTTCTCCTCCCCCGCCCTCCTCTATACCTCACCCCCCCCTCTTTCCTCCCTCAACCCCCTTCATCTTTCTCCTCATAGATTGCCCTCCTCTCCCCCCGCACTCCCACCTGCCTCCTCCTGCTGCGGCCATCCTCCTCCGCCCCCTCACAACCACCCCCTGCCTTCCTCCTACCTCCATCTCCTCCTCCTCCTCCGCCTCCTCCTCCTCCTCCTCCTCCTAAACCCCCATCCCGCGTCAATCGCTCACCCTCCAAACTGCCCCGCTTCTACTAAAATGACACCATCTGAATACTAGTCTCATCTCTCTCTCTCTCTCTCTATCTCTCCCTCTCTTTCCCCACTGGCTATGTGCGGGAGGCGCGCCGTCTCCCCGCGTCCTCCTTCGTCTCCTTTGTCTCTATTTCCCCTCTGGCTATGTGTGGGACGCACATGGTGTCAGAAGGTTAATTGCCTTATGTTCTTTCGGTCCGCTCGTGAGCTGTGTCTCAAAACGGTGCTCCAGCTGCAGCGCGGGCCTCACCTTCGGATCGGCGCACTGCCCCCCGTCGCTCGGGATGGCGTTCTCGCCCCAGCGCGGGCCACTTTCCTGGAGCCGCGCCCGCTTTCATGCTTGCCCCCCCTCCTTTCCCCTCCTGCGCCTTCCCCTGGTCCTCCTGCTCCTCCCACTCCTTCCACTCAGGTTCCAGCTGCTGCTGCTGCTGCTGCTGCTGCTGCTGCTGCTGCTGCTGCTGTTCGTCGTTTTCCTCCTCCTTCCTCATCCTCATGTTCCCCCTGCTCACCCGCCACCGCCTCCTCCTCCTCCTCTTCCTAAGTACGCAGCTCCCCTGGTCCAGCTGAGCAACGCACGAATGGATATTCCTGGGGCTGCATGTCGGCTGTGACACGCGTCCGCGAATATGGTGCGAGCGCACCTCTTTTGCCCCTTACCCTCTCCCCCTCCCCTATCCCTGACTGTCTTCCGTGGGGCGAACTTGAGCGTCGTGGCTGCAGCGCTCGTGCACGAAAGGAAACAAGTGCAGACTTAGGCCATGAGGCCAACACATTACGCCTGGCGGGCATCGCAGGACGTCCCCCCCCCTTCCACCTCCTCCTCCTCCTCCTCTTCCTCCTCGTCCTCGTCCTCCTCCTCTTCCTCCTCCTCCTCCTCCCTCCTCCTCCTCCTCCTCCTCCTCCTCCTCCTCCTCCTCTTCATCCTCCTCCTCCTCCTCCTCCCTCCTCCTCTCCCTCTTCCTCACCCCTCGTCACCCTCGTCCCCAGCAGGCCTCTCCTCCCGCCCCTGCCCCTCGGGGCCAGGCAAGTGCAGCATGCGGAGGGACCGCAGGGGCAGCTTGGCCAGCGGCGCCAGGTCGCTGATCCCGCAGGAGCCCGCCTGGTGGATGGGGGAGGACGGATGCGGGGATCAGCGAGATCAGCACCGAGGTGGCGCAATGATGACGATGACAGTGACGATGACGTCGTGAGCGCATCACCTGTGAGAACAAGAAAACACGCTTGCCAAACCGCACGTGCCACAGAGGTGTGCACGAGCAGCGCGCGGTACCATTTGGGAACTCTGGACCCCCCACATGACACCGGGCGCAACCCCGTGCACACGATTGCCGACATGAGCTGGCCTCTCCCGGAAGCTCCAGGTATATAACCGGCGACCGGGTCTCCTGGCCCTGGGCCCCCCACTTTTTCGAAACTCCCCCCATTTGTTCAAAAGTCCCTGGCGCCGGCGGGTCTTTTTGAACGCTCCAGGGCGTTCCCTGCGCCTCGAGGGTCCTCCTTGGCGCCTGCAGCGAACGCCCAGAGGCAGCCAGGACGGCCCAAGAGCGCACCAAACCGCAGAAGGTGGCCCCGCGATGGCCCAAAAGGCCCCCAAGAGGCCCCAAGGGCGCTCCGAGAGGACCTCCAAGAAGGCCCCGAGAGCCCATAGTCATTAATATTCGATTTATGTTCCCATGTTTTGCCCCACGTGCTTAGTTTTTTTTTTGTTTCTTCGCAGCGGCGTGCCGATGCATGTTCAGAATCAGACGACGTAAGACACCTTACGTCAGCTGCCAAAAGGGCGAAATGCGAACACGTATCACAACACTGCGCAAATCCCACCAGCCCTTTAAGGCGTAGGGCGTAGGTCGCTTGCTCTGCGTAGAAAGTGCCTGGGATGCAGCGGCCAGCGCTATACATGAGCTGCTACGTTGGGCTGCAACTCGCTGGCTACTGCTGCGTGAAAGGCGCTGCTACCCAGGGCTGCAGCGCCAGGCAATTAAATACCCCGGCATTATTTATGGGGATACGCGAAGCGTCAACAATTTAGTACTTGCTCGTGCCATTGAAACTGTGCACGCGGACTCGCGGCCTTCACGCCGCGCTTGCGATGGCAAATGAACGCGTGTCAGGACTGGTGTTGCGAACGCTTTTGCTTAAGACCATCTTTTTCGCACACCCGGCATCGGGCGTGGCTACGTCTTTGTAGTCGTCCTCTCCCAGCAGGCCCCCGACGACGAAACCTGCTTGGCCCAGATGCTTCACGTAAAAGTTCAAGTACGGTACGTCATCTTGCGTTCGCCCATGGACAACTTTGACCGCGACTTTTCCACGAGTGGCAGGCGTGGCATCTTTCTCGATGCCACAAGGGGTGCGCTGGGAGTGCGGTCGCTGTCCGTTTCGGCCTCGCAAAGCGTGGCAGGCGTGAACAAAACAGAATAAAAAAGAAAAAGCGCGACACTTCCTCACGCCACAGGGGGTGCGCTGGGGATGCGTGTATACCCGTTTTTTATTGTTTTCGGCCTCGCGGAAGGAGCGTGGGCAGCGTGGCATACTTCCCCCTCGACGCCGTACGCCACAAAGGGGTGCGCTGGGGGTGCGGTCGCTATCCGCTTCGGCATGGCAAAGCGTAGCAGGCGTGGCACTTGCTCGATGCCACAAAAGGTGCGCAATGGGTGCGGTCGCTATCCGCTTCGGCCTCGCAATGCGTGGCAGGCGTGGCGCTTCCTCGATGCCACAGGGGTGCGCTGGGGGTGCGGTCGCTATGAGTCTCGGGCTTGCATCGTCTGGCAAGCGTGGCACTTTCTCGACGCCACAGGGGATGCGCTGGGGGGGGCGGTCGGTATCCGCTTCGGCCTCGCAAATCATGGCAGGCGTGACACTTCCTCGACGCCGCAGGGGGTGCGCTGGGGGTGCGGTCGCTATCCGCTTCGGCCTCGCAAAGCGTGGCAGGCGTGGCACTCCCTCGACGCCACAGGGGGTGCGATGGGGGTGCGGTCGTTCTCTGTTTCGGCCTCGCAAATCGTGGCAGGCGTGACACTTCCTGAACGCCACAGGGGTGCGCTGGGGGTGCGGTCGCTATCCGTTTCGGCCTCGCAAGGCCTGGCAGGCGTGGCACTTCCTCGATGCGACAGGGGGTGCGCTGGGGGTGCGGTTGCTATCCGCTTCGGCCTCGCAATGCGTGGCAGGCGTGGCACTTTTGACGCCACAGGGGGTGCGCTGGGGGTGCGGTCGCTATCCGTTTTGGCCTTTGCAGCTCTCCTTTTGACTGGCGTCACCAACGGTATCGGCGGGGCAACGGCCACCAACATCATTCTCACATGCTTCACTTCAGCTATCATCACTCCAGCCATCATATAAGTATGTGGGGCTCCTCGGTCGCGTAATTCGCGTTCTCGTGTTTTCGGGTTCTCGGCACTCCAAGACTACCCAAGAAGCCTCCAACCTCGCCCCACAA